CCTCTCTCTCTCTCTCTCTCTCTCTCTCTCTCTCTCTTTCTCGTTATATTTCCCTCTCTCTCGCTCGTTCTCTCTCTCTCTCTCTCTCTATCTCCCTCTCGCTTTCTCCCTTTCCCACCCTCTCTCTGTCTCTATGTCTCTCTGTCTCTCTCTCTCTCTCTCTCTCTCTTTCTCTCTTTCTTCATGTATTTGTTTATCTTAGTTGTGTGTGTCTCTCTCTCTCTCTCTCTTTTTCTCTCTCTCGCTCTCTCTCTCTCATTCTCTCTTGCTCGTTCTCCCTCTCTCTCTCTCTCTCCTTCTCTCTCTCTGTCTCTCACGTTATCGTGCTTTCTATGCATGATTGTGTTTTTGTTGTTTATGTGTGTTGTTGTTTCTCTGTCTCTCTCTCTCTCTTTCCCTCTGTCTGTCTGTGTCTCTCTCTCTCTCTCTCTTTCTCTCTCTCTCTCTCTCTTTGTCGCGTCTATTGTTGGGTTGTTGTCTCTCTCTCTCTGTGTTGTTCGCTCTCTCTCTCTCTCCCTCTCCCTCTCTACCCCCTGTGTGTGTCTCTCTCTCTGTCTCTCTATCTTTCTTATTTGTGTTACATGTACCCCTCTTTCTCGTTCCCTTTGTTTTCTCTCTTTCTCTCTCTCTCTCTCGATATTTCGTCTTTTTGTTGTTCGTTCTCTCTCTCGCTCTCTGCCCCTCTCTCCCTCTCTCTCTCTCTCTCGGTCTCTGTCTCCCTCTCTCTCTCTCTCTTTCTGCTCTCTCGCCCTTTCTCTCTGTCTCTCTCTTTTTGTTTTTCTCTCTCTCTCTCTCTCTCTGTTTCTCTCCTACGCCCATCCCCCCGACCCCCGCTGCCCTTGCCTCGCGCGCGCTTGCTCGAACGACGCCATATCTCGGAGCCCTGGGGCCGCCCTGGGGCCCCGCGCCCCGGGCCCAGAGCCAGGGGGCACTGTCGGGTAGAAGTCCGGCGATCCGCCGGTGCGTGCTGCAACTTAACACGACACGCCTTCGCAGGGGCAGCACTTGTCGGATGTGGTCGATTCGCCATATACCTCCCTGCCTCCCCCCCCTTCGCCGCGCCCCCGCTCGTTTCCGTCAGGCCCGGCGATCCGCGCGAGGGACGTGCCGAATGGGTCAGGCCAAATGCCGAGGGGACCCCCAGGGCCCTCACCAGGGCTCCAGGGCCCCTCCTCCTCCTCCTCCTCCTCCTCCCCCTCCTCCTCCTCCTCCTCCTCCTCCATTTCCTCCTCCTCCTCCTCCTCCTCCTCCTCTTCCTCCTCCTTTTCCTCTCCCAGGAGCTCCCGGCGGTTCTTGGGGCTTTGGGGCTTGTCGGGGCTCAAGAAGCTCGAGACCTCCCAGGGGTCCCCCCAGATGGCCGGGGCCTCCGAGGGCCCAGGGGCTTGGTCCTGGGGCAGGGCCAACCGTGGTTTCATCGGCTCCCTTGTAACATCCTCGCGGTGCTCATGGTACGCCTCTGCTCCTGCTGCTGATGCGTTTTTTTTCTATCCCACTTGCGTCGCTGGGTCCAGGTTTTGAAGCGCCCCGCGTTCCTCCTTCGTCCTTCCTTCCTCCCCCTCCTCCTCCTTCTCCTCCTTTACCTCCTCCTCCTCCTCCTCGTCCTCCTCCTCGTCCTCCTCCCTCCTCCTCCTCCTCCTCCTCCCTCCCTGTCCTCCTCCCCCCCCCCTCCTCCTTTTCCTCCTCCTCCTCCTCCTCGTTCTCCTCCTTGTTTTCGTCCTCGTGTCCTCCTCGTTCTCGTTCTCGTTTTTCTCCTCCTCCTCCTCCTCCTCCTCCTCCGCCTCCTCCTCCTCCTCCTCCTCCTCCTCCTCCTCCCTTCTCCCATCGTTGCCTCTGCATTCTGCATGTCCATGTCGGCGCGCGCGCCCCAAGCGCGCCTCGTAACACTACAAGGAGCTCCACCGGAGACCCTTGCGGGAGGGTTTCCGCGCGCCCCCCCCGCCCAATTCCAGCGCACACGCGCGCGCGCACGACGCGCGCTTCGTGGCCCCACAAGACCTTTTCACAAAAGGCCCCAGCGGGTGGTCCACGTGCGCCCCCCCCGCCCCCCTCCCGGCGCGCCCCTCACGCCTTCCGTGGCCGTCTTAGGGGCTCCAGCGAGAAAGCCCCCGCTCGGAGGGCCCAGGCGCGCCCCCGCCCAATTTCGGCGCACCGTTCGCACGTTTCGAAGCCCCAGGAGTTCCACCAGCGGGCCCGGCGGGAGGGAGGGCCCACGCGCGTCAACCGCCCCGTTTCGGCACATCCTTCGGGCGCTTCGTGGCCCAAGAAGGAGCTCCACCAAGGGCCTAAGTGGGAGGGTCCACATGCGCCCCCTGCTCAATTTCGGCGCACGCTCACACGTTATGAGGCCGCCTTAGGCGCTCCACCGAAGGCCTCAGTGGGAGGGTGCACATGCGCCCCCCCGCCACATTCCGGCACACCCCTCGCACATTTTGCGGCCCCAGAGGGGGCTCCATTGAAGGCCCCAGCGGGAGGATCCACTCGGCGCAACCCCCGCGCGTTTCGTGGCCCACAAGGGGGCGCCACCGAAGACGATTCCCATAACTGCGCTACCATTCTTAACAATTGCATATGATTGGGCCGATTGCCAGGATATTTGTTGTTGTGTATCTCCTGTCCCGCTCTTGTTGCTGTTGTTGTTGCTACCGATACGGTTGTTGCTACTCCTCATTCGCCCCATCCTGTTCCTGATGACGCCGCGGCTGGTCTTCCTGTCCCTTTTGCTTTTGGTGGCCGACCGAAACTGCCGACTTTTCGTCTCCCTCGTCCTCGTTGCGCTCGTCCTCGCCGTCGTCTTCTTCCTCCTCTTCCTCCGCCTGGCCATACTGCTGATGTCGATGCTGCTCCCCTTTGTTTCATGTGCCCTTCCGCCCCCCTTTCTTTCGGATGGAACTCCTGGGAGGTCAAATTCTGATTCTGTCCTGGTCCGGAATCTGGCTTGATCCAGCTTAATCCCGCTTAATCCGGCTGAATCCCCTTCAATTCCGCTGAATCCTGCTCAGTCCGAGGCCCACTCCGGCGCAGCAGCTCCCAAATGGGGCTCAATCCCCCTTGAGATTTCCGACGAAAGCCTCCCAGCAGTTGCCCCCGAACTTCCTCCTCCACCGTCGCCCTCTGACCGATGTGGCCCTGCTGCAGCTGCGGCTGCTGCTGCTGCTTGCCTCGACGACGGTGCCCCCGCTGCCCCCGCGCTGCCGGCTGCTGGCCCCGCGCCTCCTGCGAGGGCCCAGCTGCCCGACCGTACCCGCCCCTCGGGACGCCCGCTGGCCGTGCCGCCGGAGCCCTCGGTGGAGCCAGCTTTTGGGAGCCTCGAGGCGGGGGTCCTCCCTCCTGTGCTGGCACGCGTTTGGCGTGTCTCGTGTTCTCCTCGGCGCATGTTTGGCGCGTCAGCTCTCCCGCGCTCTTGCACGCATTTGGGGTGTCTGCCCACGCGACCAGACGGACGCAAGGCTCAGTGGTGGTGGTGGTGGAGGCGGGGGTCCGTGCAAGCGGGGGTCGGCCAGAGCGCCGTGTCTTGCAGGATCCTGCAGCGCCAGGTCGCCTTGGCCCGGGTTTTTGGGTGCAGGATCCTGCAGGATCGATCTTTCGCACGGACCCGGGCTTGGGCGCAGGATCCTGCAGGAGTCTGCAAGGCCTGGCTGGCCCGGGTCTGAGTTGACCTGGGTCAGAAGATCCCCGAAGCTTCCCAGGGGGGCCGCGAGACGCGTGAGGAGGCCCACAGATCCAGCGTATGGAAAAGATCGGACGGAGGTTTCTGGACGTTTTTGGCCTCCAGGGGCCCTCGCCGGGCCCCTGGACCGTCAACAAACGACTCGGGAGGAGAGGCTGGCCCTGGGGAACGGGTCGAGACTTCCGGGGCTTTGTGGGCCCTGGAAACGGCAGGGCCGTTTTTCCACCGTTTCCGAAAAAATGTCCCTTGAAAATGGAAACGGCAAAACAACGGCGACCGGAAACGGCAAAAAAACGGCTCCAGGATTGGAACCGGAGCCGGAACCGGTCAAAAAACGGCGACGGAACCGGTAAAAAAACGGCGTCGGAACTGGCGAAAAAACGGCAAAACGGAACCGGTAAAAAAACGGCCCTGTCGTTTCCAGGGCCCACTAAGTTCCGGGGGTCCCGTATTGAAACAGTCACGACGTGACCCGGAGACGCGCGCGGGCCCTGCCGCTGGGGCCTTCGGTTGGGCTTCCCCTGTTGGGTCACGAAGGCCTGGGAGGGGCGATGCCGAGACGGGTCTCTGGCGACGCGTGCGGGTCTTGGCGCCGGGGCCTTCGGCAGGGCTTCCTGTGTTGCCACGAGTTGCGCAAGGGGTGTGCTCGGATGGACCTGCGGAAGGCAGAGGCAGGGGTGGGAGGAGGGAGGAGGGAGGAGGGGGAGGAGGAGGGAGGAGGGGGAGGAGGGGGAGGAGGGGGAGGGAGGGGGAGGAGGGGGAGGAGGGGGAGGAGGAGAGACGCGGGGCGCTGCGGATTCAAAACGAGGGCCGAACACGGCAGGATGGTTGAGGAAGCGCTGGTAATAACGGAAGGGGGCGGGCGAACGGCACGGAAGACGAGAGAAAGAGAGCGAGAGAGAGAGAGAGAAACAAAAAACAATAATAATATTAATAAAGAAAGCGAGAGAGAGAGCGCGAGAGAGAGAGAGAGAGAAAGAGAAGGGGGGAGGTAGGGAATTCGGGAAAGGTGGCGATACAGGATTACCATGGAGAGGAGGCGGAGGAAGCCGGCCAGGATCAGGAAGAGGGGGAGGGGGCAAGGAGCAGGGTATACGGGGTTTGGCGGTGAGCAAGTGTATAACATGAGACGGGAGACCAGGATGAAGAGCAGGGATGAGAAGGGGGATGATGATGATGAGGAGGAGGAGGAGGAGAAGGAAGACGTGGCGAGGGGCCTGGTGATCAGACGGAAAGTGAGGATGGGGACGGGCAAAAGGACGAGGGATAACAAGCAAGTTCATGATCAGGAGGGATCGTCGAGGGGAATACGACGTATGTAGTGCGTCGGTAGGACGAGAACAACAAAGATATCGTCCGCCATTGTGACATCGCCAAGGCGTACCTCAAGGCGTGCGCCCATTTTTTCCCCGCCCGCCCCACGCCCCACCGTCCTGTTGTTGCATCTCCTCCTCTTCCTACTCAGCCTCCTACTCCGCCTCCTCCTCCTCCTCCTCCTCCTCCGCCTCCTCCCCAAGGGAACGCTGTGCCTCCTCTTCCGCCTCCTCCTCCTAATCCTCAGCCCCATCTCCCCAAGACCCCTCCCTCCCTCTTCCAGTCACATCCCTCCTCGTGGAACCTTCCTCCTTGTCCGTAGAGGCACGACAGTCTTGCCCTTTGCTACCCTTCAAACACCCACCGGTGCATCCTCAGCATTAGGCATCCCTCCGCTCCACTCCTACTCCCCCTCCTCCCCCCCCCACTATTGCCGAATACGAGCGAAGTTTCCCCCCTCTGCCCCCTGACTGCGTGCTGAAGGTAGCCCGCCCTCTCCGCGTCTGGATTCTTGCTTGCACTGCGTTTCAAAGTTTGATTTCTGGATGTGTTCCCAATCGGAACGTTTTCTGTGCTCCCAAAGCATGTTTTCGCTTCCGCGCGGGCCTCCATTTTGGGTCGTCGCGTGGCCCCCCTTCGTTTAGCATGCTGCGGTCCGCAGCGCGGGCCACTTTGTCTGGGCCACTTTGTCTTGGCTCAAGGTGTCTGGCTCAAGAGGATTCCTCAAGGCTTCCAGGATCACCAAGTGGAACGCCTGCAGGCGACCCCGCGGCCTCACCTGCAGGTCCGCTCCGTGCTTGCGATAGCGGGTAAACCGAGACATCTCCGGTTCCTGCTTGCGCAATCACAGCCATGGCGTGCTCCCATGCGGCCTGCCCGCTCTGCGGCGCGCTCCCCGCAGCGGCCGACGAGCTGGGCCGCTGCAGACGCTGCGGGCTGGCGCTCCCGGGCCACGCGTTCCCCGCCGCGGGACTCCAGATGGCCCAGCCGATCGGGGTGGCGGCCGCAGCTACAGCTGTTGCTGCGGCTGCCGCGGATGCTGCTGCTGCCGGGGGGGCGGCTTTCCAGGGCGCGGATGTCTTGGCTGCTGCTCATGCCGGCGCTGCGCCGCCGCCTGGCCTGGGTTCTTCGTCGGGGTCTACTTCGCCATTGCTTGCTGCCCGAGTTCAGCTTCTTCGGGAGTGGGTCGAAGACGAGGTGGTCCAGCACATGAGCCTCGTGCACGCGTCCACGGTCACCTCTACTGTGGCCCCCTTGCCCGTTGAGCTGCCCTCCGGCTTCCAGGACCTCTGCGCGCTCTTGGGCAAGTTGGGCTTCCAGGTGGCGTCCGAGGACCACTGGGCCTCGTTAGGCCTGGCTTGGCTCGAGGGCCCCAACCCGTCCGAAGTCTTGATTGGTGCTCGCTGGCGGGCGGCCAGGTCCCTCCTCTCCCTAGCGCAGGTCTGCGATTGGCCAGAGGAGGACATCAGGTCGGCGGAGCTGCTCGCAGTTCAGCTTTGGGGCGCCGTGGCGAAATGCGAGGGGGAGCTCAAAGATGTGCTGGCCGTGCGCCGCAAACTTCGTGCTGGGAAGCTCCCCCGGTACCGCGAGTTGGGCGCCTCTGCCGTCGAGACGGTCTCGAGCAACATCCAGGGGCCCGCGGCCACGTTCTACACGCAATGGTCGAACCTCCTGGGCGTCTCCCACTCCACTGTGGCGGACTGCGTCGAGGCGCGTAGGATCTCAGAGCTGTCGGAGAAGGGCGACGAGAAGGTTTGGGATGAGTTGAAGGGCAGGGATGTCGCACTCTGGGCTCCGCGCGACTCCAACTCGCTGACCCGCTTGCTCGCCGCATTCCTCCGCGGGACGGCCCCCGATTGTCGACCCAACACCCTCGTCATGATTGCTACGATCCCCTGCACGCTCGGCATGACCACGGCCGGGAACGTCCTGGACCTCTGGCACTCTCCCCTCCTCTCAGAGTCGTGGATGGCCATCGTCAGGAATATCGCCTTCGTGGCTTACCCTTTCGAGCTCGTGGCCCCTGGCTCTTTCGACTCCGCGCGGCATTGCAGGAGCGGTCTTGCTCTGTTCTCCCTCCAGCACGTCGGCCCTCGCAGCATCCCGCGTATGATCACCATGAACGCTATTATCCAGGTGGACGGCTTCAAGGCTATCACGTTTGACATGCGGGTTGAGGAGCTGACAAATTTCATTGGCCTCGGCCAGCTGCAGTTTCTTGGGGGCGTGTCCTTCCGGCACCACCGCCGGAGCCCACTGAGCATCAGGGAGTCCCCGCGCATCGCCATCGATCTCATCTTCCCACCGGCGGCCTCAGACTTAGAAGTGGAGGCTCTGCTCCGGCGGCTCCGGCGCAACATGAAACCGCACGACGCGTTCTTCGGCCCCACTTCCCTCGCCAACTCGCCAGACGTACTTCTGCTTGAAGGTGGGGGGTGTCGGTGTCTTTCATCATTACTGGCCGCTCTGCAGTCTGGCGCTGCCGCTAGAAGCGGGCCGTATCCTCGTAGTCACAGAGTCCACTGCCGACGCCTGGAAGCTCACGATGGAGCAGGTCTACCAGACGGACAAGGCTCACGCTGCAAAGCGCTTGAAATATAAGGCTTCACGATGTGGAGGCAGAATCGTCGCTACTCCGGATGCGACGGGCCCCCAGCTGGCGGCCAACCAGAGGCGCGGCAACAAGGGGCGCTCTGGCACGGACTTCTTGGCGGAGATTGTCGTCAAGGGCGATTTGGGCAGGGGGGGCGGCGAAGTCCTAGACAAGCTCATGGCTCACCTCGTCCAGGCCACTGGGATTCCTTTGGCGAAGGCCGTAAACATGGACCAGCCTGCGCCCGGCGAGTATGTGCATTTGGCTTCGCGGGTCGCTCAGGCGCCCTCGGGCGTGGTCAAGGTCCTCGCCAAGACCGCCGATGACGTTCGCAAGATCTACGATTCACTTCACGGCCAGGTGGTGCAGGTGGGGCTGGACTACTTGGCGATCGAGGTTAAGAACGACCTCGTCACGCTGGAGGTCGCGCCGGGGGGCAGAGGGAGGGCGCGGGCTTGAGTGCCCACCGCGCTCTCCAGCACCATGGGCACCGCGTCGGAATTCAATGCGTGACCTGCGACGGCCTGCTGTGCTTCGCCTTCATGGTCGCCCTTCGAGTCCACGATGCTTCGGCGTCGCCGGCTGGTTTAGGCCGCTCTGATTTGGAGCGTGGTGCGTGCCGCAACTTCCGATCTTCCTTCCGCTCCCACCCGTGCGACAGTGACCGACTTCGCCCCGCTCTTCCTCCGCTTCTGTTCGGCTCCGACGACATTCTGCCCGCGAGTGCCAGTGACCTGGCAGCTCGAGACATCCCGATCCACTTCTACCGCAGGCAACGGCTCCAGAGGGCTGTCGGTGACATCGCTGCGGACACGATCCTCCCCCCTGCCCTCTCCAGGCCCGTCTCCATTGCTGCCGCCGGCCAGGCCAAGAAGGGGCAGTTCCAGGGCGAGTATTCGATCACCTCCTGGAATTCGCAGGCCCCCTTCTGCTTGGGCCCCGTTCGCCACGAGCAGAAAGCGGCGTATGTCCACAAATTGTCGGGGAAGGCCGACGTCATCCTCCTGCAGGAGACGCATGGGACAGAGGTGGGCAATGCAGCTTGGAGGGCCCCGGCTGGAACGACCGCCTGGCGGTCTCAAGGGCCCACCCCGGGGCGCGCTGGAGCGGGGGTCGTCGTCAGAGACACGTTCCTGCAGCAGTTCAGTGCGGAGCCTAAATGGGTTCATATCTGGAGGGGTCGCGCCGCGAAGCTATGCCTCAGAGGCCCTCGCGGGTCCCTGGACATCATCGCCACGTACTTCCAGACCGGCTCGAACAACACCCTTACCGAGCACGACCTCCACGGCGTCCCGAACAGCATGCGGAGCAGCGTGGTCTCCTTCCCCCACCTCCGCTCCCTCCTCCGGCCCCGGATCGCCGAGAACGTGTCGTCGCGCCTCGACTGCTTGACGCTGCTCGGCGGCGACTTCAACTGCGTGGCGGACGACCGGGACCGCGTCGCAGTTGCGTCTGCGCATTTTACTGGACGGCGCGATGGGAGTGAGGAGAAACATTTTCAGCGCGTGCTGGGTGTTCGATGTGGTTTCGTGGAGCTGTTTCAGTGCGACCACACTCACGCCTCGGCTTCATCCCGCGCCCGGTTGGACAGGCTGTACAGCAACCACCACGTCTCGGAGCAGCTTGACCGCCACTTCCAAATATCTCCTTTGGAGTGGAAGCATGACTTATCCCACCATCGGGCCATCTTCGCGGCGCGTCGTCTTCCACAGCACGCCGACGCTGGGGGCCGTCCTTTACCAACTCGTGCCCTTCAACATCATGATTTTCCACGTCGTCTCATTCTGGAGTACGGCGAATCTCTTCAGCAACATCCAGATAGTAATCCCATGGACAAGCTCCGCCTGTTCAAAGAGGCCATGCGGAAAGTTGCACTGCGGCTAGACGCCGCCATGGGCAAAGCTCCGCCGGCCATCGACTTAGAAGATCGGCTGGGCGTCGCGCTGCGGCTCATCCGAGCCGTGGAGGGGGGCCGGATTCATGAAATTTCACGCTGCCTCGAACGATGCCCGGGGTTGGCAGACCACGTGGTGAACCCGTACGCCGTCGACGGCAACATTTACCGCAAGTTTGAAGGCCTACGGAAGCACGCCCCCGACTTGGCCCGCGGGCATGCCTTGGACGAGCTTGGCAAGTCCCACTCCGACCTCGCGGGGGGCGACGAGTTCAAGGCGGCCCGCGCTCGGCAGCGCAATACTCGGTTACTTTATCGGCTTGCCCCTGGGCGTTCGGGCAGCGCGGGGGCCGTCCAGAATCCGAACGGGGACGTGGTGGTTGAGCCCGCCGCGATGGCTGGCACCTTGCGCACGCGCTGGGCTAAAGTCTTCGAGAAGGTTGGCATCAACGCTGGACTGCTCGACGCTGGGCTCGAGGAGGACAGTGGCGCCCGCCCGCTCGACCAAGCCCTGCCCCCCCGGATGCAGTTGAAGAAGGCGCACTTCGTGAAGGCCATTCTGACTTCCAACAACTCTGCCCCGGGCCCC